GCTGAAGACTACAGCTACAGCTATGGCGCCCAGCGCCGAAGACTACAGCTAGCGCTAATACCTACTGCCTAGCGCTGAAGACTACTGCAGCGCTCCTCCTGAGTGYTGCGGCCGAATCCTGAAGACTACCCTTGCCTACTSACACTACCTACCCGTGAAGTGCATGGGAACTTCCTATGTACTACGGGTGTGCCTCCTGAGCCTGCCAAAGGGAGGCAGGGGCTGCAGCTGCAGCTCCTGCTCAAACTCGTGAGGAACAGGCTATTTCTGGCCTGTTCCGCATCCCTGTTTACGTGCCTGAGTCTTAGGGGCAGGTCGAAACAATGAGGGCCTGAAAATGGCCCTCCGTTTCAGGCTGAAAACTCTGGGTCTGAAAAGACCCAGAAATAGGCTGAAACGGGGTAGGGCCTGCAGGCCCTCGTTTTTCAGCATCCAGGCTGAAACGAACGGGGCCTGTAAGCCCTAAGTTTTAGGCTTTCAGGCTGAATGTCCGGGACGGGCCCTGCAGGGCCCGTGTGGCTACGCAGTATGCCACACATGCTGTAGCCACAGCCTTCCAGCGGCCGGCCTCTCCACCTAGGCCCCGCTATCACAAACCAGCGTCAAAGTATCCTTACTGCACATGAAGCATCGTCAGCGCACCAAGTAACAACGTCGCCGGTGCCAGGTAAGCGGCAATCACCAACCAGCTCCGATACCAAATTGCAAGGAATATGAGTGCGAACGATATACAGAAAACCACGTTGCGAAAATCACACAGATGTCCAGGTAGTAGTATCCAAGCAGAGAGTACAAAATGCACCGAGAAACCATCCATATAGAGCAATACAATGAAGTAATGAGCCAATGTTCAAGCCCGTAGGCCACACCAACACAATATCCAAAGTCGCTCCTCTCTGTCTGGCGCCCAGCGCCCAACCTACTCTGCCCGACTATCCTACCTACAGCTGGTTCACGCAACAGGCTCACTTCGACTCTCGAAGGCCAATGTACATGACTGTCAACTCCATAGCTGACCTCTCTTCATGCACCAGGTACGTATCTCGTCACCCTCAATCAGACCTTGATTACCCCACACTCGCCTCCTTCCCTGAAGACCACCAGATCATCCGCTACAACCCCCTGGCGCCCAGCAGCCCGGCTATGCCTGCGGCCCGCTGCCCTGCAGCGCCCCTCCTCATCACTACACGCCCCGTCATCGCCTTTGGCAGCAGTGCAGCATCAAGCGAGAGTGCAGCAGCACTTCCGCATTGCCAGGACTGGCCAGAATGCCTGGCCTGGGCTGCCTCACTTCTTTTATGGAAGTGGCAGCCTCCTGGATGCTGCGTGTGGCCTGGCTGGAAGCTTCCAGTAGCTTCTGGTTGGGCCTCAGACCCTGCGCCCAGGCCCGAGACTACAGTTGAGGGCCTGGGCCCTTTTCAGTTGGGCACGGCCTGAGTCTCCGGACTCGGGCTGTTTGCTGCATCTGTGCAGGGCTCCCAGGCAGGTGCGTCGGCGGTACTGCTTTTGCAAAGGCCGATAGCCTGCTTCCCAATGTATCGGCCCTGCTTTTTGTGTATGTGCCCAGGTGCAACTGTGAAGGCCTGGGCCAACTGTATGACGCAGCTTTGTGAGGCTCACGCGTCTACCCAACCAACTGGCGTGCTGCGAGAGCCTGAATACCCACATGTGGAAATGTCGAATTTTGCCTCTGACGAATATTCAGGCCTGCCTTCACTTAGGGCGGGCACTCGGCTTGCTGGGGGCCTTAGCCCAGATCATGTGGTGTCTGATAGGGCCCCTTGAGGGCTTGTTCCTCGCACCTGTCAGCATGATCAACTGCCTGTTTTTATTTTGGCGTTTTTCATCCGCTAATTACAAATTTCTACTAATTTTCTAGACATTTTATTTCTCTCTGAGATGTACGTGAGCCTGTTTTTATTTTAATTCTTTTTTTTTATTGTTTTTAATTCGGACCATTTCTCGATTTATGTGTGTCATCCTTGTGCAGGGGCCATGCTAATCTTCTCTGTATCGTTCCAATTTTAACGGATGTTCAGAATAGAAGTTCCGCCGATCTGCACACCTATCAATCGTAGAAGGACTCGTCCCCCAGTCCAAAATCCTAATTTACGGGGAAAAAAACAGAGACCTGTCTATCCGCACACCAGCACACAAAAATTCCTTATTTCTAAGTGGAACCAGAGATTAGTCGTGAGATGAGTCGAGATCATATCTGCCAATTCTAAAAAAAGCTTGTCCTTGCTATTGTTCAGTTTCAGTTGGGGGTAAACCTGGGAGATCAAAGATCTCCAGGGACCGCCCACCACCTTGCCGAACCTTGCCAAGGATCCAAAGAAGAAGAAAAAGAAGAAGAAGAAGAAGAAGAAGAAGAAGAAGCAGAAGCAGAAGCAGAAGCAGAAGCAGAAGCAGAAGCAGAAGAAGAAGAAGAATGGGACTTTCCCTCTCAGCTTGCAGTTGCACTGCCAGCCCATTCAACAGAACCAATATTGAATATTCCTATCCAATGACATTGGATCCCTTGCAGGTGGAGTCTTCGAAGATGGGGTGCTTGTTGAGAAATCGGGGGACATTAGTGATTTCATGTTGGCTCTGTGAGGTAGCAGATCTTGCTAAACTTCTCTTTCACTGCCCTCGGGTCTTTCAAGATGGATGGATGGATGGGTGGATGGTTGGGTTTGTAGATAGGCAGGCAGGGAGGTAGGCAGGAAGGCAGGGAGGGAGGTAGGCAGGCAGACAGGCAGAGAGACAGAGACAGACAGGCAGGCAAGCAGACAGGCAGACACAAATACCGGCAGGCAGGCAGGCAGACAGACACACACACAGACAGACAGACCAACAGACCGACCCACCCACCCACCCACCCACAGACAGACAGACAGACAGATAGGTAGGTAGGTAGGTAGGTAGGTAGGTAGGTAGGTAGGTAGGTAGGTAGGTAGGCAGGTAGGTAGGTAGGTAGGTAGGTAGGTAGGTAGGTAGGTAGGGAGGTAGGTAGGTAGATGGATAGATAGAT